ATTTTCTCTGCAGCAACAGAGAGAACAAAAGCCTGTTGTCCATGCTGACTCACTCCCCACCTGGTACATCCCTCCAGAGCATCCAATCATGCCCTACTCACCTACAGGACTGGGTCTCATGGTCCCTTCTGGGTACAGCTTTCCTGATCTCTCCACCCTGCTCCCTACCGCGCCCTGATCCTTGGCAGTAACAATCTGTGCTGAATGTCCTCGCGGCACCTTAGGCTGACCTCTGTTAAAACAGTTATTACATTGTATTACATAGCTGCATGTGTCTATTTCCTTAGATCCATCCTCACTCCTACCCCAGCTGTGCCTTCCTCAGGGACAAGCCAGTGTGCTCCTGAGGCAAAGTCCACTGACTGAGTTAAAGCCAGGAATGTCGGTCAGGCTTTACATTTAAAATGTTGCCAGCAGGAAGTCAGTGTTAAGTCTAACATAGACTTTTCAAGCCATACACCATACATCATCTTTTTTCATCTTTCAAAAACAGTAACAACAGGCAGTATTTGCCCGGGGAGATAGCTCAAGGGGCAGGAATGGATAGGAAAGAAGGCCACCAGGAAGAGGTAGCCACAGGGAGGAAGTGGGAACAGCTGTTACATTATTGGGATTGCAGTCAATGTCATGAAACAAAATGTGTATGAACTGCTGTATGGAAAATGAATTTGCTCTGTAAACTTTCACCCAAATCACAATAAAAATTAAAAAATAAAAAACAGTGACAGTGGTAAGAGTACAAATTCTATTAACTTTCACTGAATACCTTTTAAGGAGCCCTAGTTGCACAATAGTTAAGCACTTAGCTCTAATTGAAAGACTGGCAGTTTGAACCGGAAGTCACTCTGCAGGAGAAAAAGGCAGTCTGCTTCCCTAAAGATTTGCAGACTTGGAGACCCTACAGGGCAGTTCTACTCTGTTCTTTAGGGGTGCTATGGAGCTCTGGTAGCATAGTGGCTAAGGCACTTGACTGCTAACCAGAAGGCTGGCGGTTCAAACCCACCAGCCACTCCTTGGAAGGAAGATGGGGCAATCTACTTCCGTAGTGATACTGCCTCGGAAACCCAAGGAGGGGTCACTATGAGTCAGGTCCGACTCGATGGCACACAACAACAACAACAACATGAGTCTGAATGGACTCAGCAACAGTGGGTTTGGTTTTTGATTTGCAAAATGCAAATGCATTGCTGTGGAGTCGGACTCAACCCATTGCTCAACCCATTGCAACCCCTCCTTGGGTTTCTGAGGCAGTATCTTTACAGAAGTAGATCATCCTATCTTCCTTCCAAGGAATGGCTGGTGGGTTTGAACCGCCCGCCTTCTGGTTAGCAGTTACACGCCTTAGGTACTAGGCTACCAGAGCTCCCTTTGATTTGCAGTACCTTTTATGAAAGTCCAGATGGTCTTTTAAGAAGCCCTGGTGATACACTGGTTAAGTGCTCAACCACTAACCAAAAGGTTGGTGGTTCAAACCCATCCAGCATCTCCATGGGAGAAAAGACCCAGCAATCTGCTCCCATTAAGATTACAGCCAAGAAGACCCTACAGGGCAGTTCTAACCTGTTCACATGGGGTCACTATGAATAGGAATTGATTCAACAGCACCCAACAACAAAAGAACAAGGGTCTTTCAGAAATAACTCTTCTCAGCAAGCAACGTTACATCCGTGTTCACCTCGGAGCTGCATGTTAGCTGCTGCTGACCCTGAGCATGAAAGGAGTCAGTTACGTCATGACTAAGCTTTTAATTTGGACTAAACCCCTGCAAGTGGATTTTCTTTCTTCTTTTTACAAATGGCTTAGGATGTCTCTGAATAATTTTCCCTGCTCACAATTGAAAGCCTGGAGTTGTGCTCAACATCTTGAAACACGTCCACATTATAGTCTATGTGCATCCACAAAATGGATATGCAAGGTTCTGTAAGGCTAAGTGTGGGGCGGTGGTGGTTCGGTGGTAGAATTCTCGCCTTCCACGCAGGAGACCCAGGTTCTGTTTGCAGCCGATGCTTCTCATGCTTCCGTCTGGCAGTGGAGGCTTCCAGAAGAAGAGAGACCAGGAAGAAAGGCCTGGGGGTGACCAGCCAGTGAAACCCATGGAGCACAAATGTGAGGATGCCACAGAAACTGGCGGTGTTCCGATCCATGGCGCACTGTCATTATGAGTCGTGGCCGACTAGAGGGCAGCTAGCAACAAGAAGGGTGGGAAGGTCAGAGCTGGGAACCCTGGGCCAGACAGTGCCTCTGAGGTACTGCCTCCCATCACTGTCCCTGGTAAACACAGGAACTCCGGACCCTGAGGGCACACAGCTCCGTTTCCTTGTATCCTGAGGGTAATCCTATATTCTGGCTCCAATTCTGGTTCAGGCTTCTTCGCCTCTTACCATGCGCCGTTAGGATGCACCTTTGGCTTGCCTGGTGGTGTCTGTCCCTCTTCCTATGCTGGGGGTGGATGCTCCTCCTTGGATTACGGTTTTTCTGACCTGGGCTCCTCACGCCCACCCTGATGGCCACCTGTCGACCTGTCCCATACCCTTCTCTCTCACTTTGTTGTGTCTGGCCTCTCCTCCCCAGCTCCTGACCACAGCATCGCTGGTGAGCTGGACACACTACAAACTTCCAGGTTTCACAGCAGCCAGACGGTGGCCTCCTAATATGCACCAGGCACTGCCCTGAGCACTGGACACATCACTTCGTATAAGCCGCACAAGCGCCCTGGAATCACAAAGGCGGCGACCCTGGGTGGCAACTGGCACAGAGGTGGAAAAGGGGCCCAAAGAGGTGGAGTAGCTGCTCCCAATTGGCGGGGCTGGCTTTCAAACCAGATCTGTCTGGATCTAAAGCAGGAGCCTCCTCAGTGCCAGCCACACTCAGTTCCCATCTACAGGCCCGACCATCACAGTGCACACAGACTCGAGGCCTGTGCCTCCTGACATGATCTGGCTCGTGGCCCCCTAGAGGCTGCTCGGCCTGCTGCAGGGCCCTCCTGAGAGTGTGGACTGTCTCCCCAGGGCCCTGCAGCCCTCTTCCTGGCCTCCTGCCTTGTCAGGACTCTCAAAACCACACCAGCGATTTAGAAAGCTTTATTCTCTATTTTATACCATTTAACTAGTTGCTATCAAGTCGACTCTTAAACATGTGGTAACCTCCCATGGGTTAAAAGCACAACTGTACCCCCGAGGGTTTTCAATGGCTGACTTTTCGGAAGCAGATTGCCAGGCCTTTCTTCCAGGTTGCCTCTGGGTGGACTCCAACCTCCAGCCTTCCAGGGAGCAGCTGTTGGCACCAACCAGGGGCTCCCAGGACATCATCTGGAGTCGGTTCGATCCTGTGTTTGCTGTCATTTCCATCACACATACACACATAAGATAGAACATGTACGAAAGACAACTGTCTTCAGATCTCATTGACCTCATGGCCTTTTAGAACAGCACAAGAAAAGACGATTAGGAACCGGCCTCCCCAGTTCGAGATGGCATTGAGACCTCCCTTCTCGCACACAGAAGACCCACAGCACTGGGAAGGGTAGGGACAGAACACATCTTCTGAGGGTACACAGGGCAGAGAAGGGCAGTGTAAAGCCCTGCCACAAGATGCTGATGGGCCGTGTGGTTTTAGTCACATCCAGAAAAACATTCCAGGGAGAGCCAGAGATTCGGGTCAGTGGCTTGCCCTCACCCTGGGCCGAGCGTGGGAAGGCGGGCTAGGAGCGATGCCCACAGGAATGCTGCAGGAGGTGCAGCAGATAAAGGCCTGAGTCCACTATCTCTGAGCAGGCTCCCCCTTGTCCTGCTCTCCCACGGGAGCATCCTTCTCTCTCTTGGCATATACACACAGACACGCAGCCCCCCGGCCTTCGAGAATGAGCCTGACAGACGGATTGACAGACAGACAGACAGAGTGTGGCGTGGCAGGAAGGAGGCACCCGTGGCTTCCCCCACTCCATCCCGTCCAGCTCGGTGCGGTCAGCCACCAGGACCATGGTGCTCCCTCTGTATGGTCGACAGCGCAGCCACTGATAGGCAGCTTGAGTTCCGAATATAGACTTTGCTGGGCAACTTCCCCCCCGCTTCTTATACAATTTTGGTTAGTGGAACAAAGTCCACTCTGGTCTTGCTTTTTCAATGTGACCAGACACATCCATCAGTTACAACCACACCCCTGTCTTCTACTAGGCGGCTCTGAAAATGCCCGAGATGAGGCCCCTGGCGGACTTCAGGCTGTCAGCTCAGTTCTCATTCATTTCCGTCTCAGTTACTGGCGTTTATTTAAGGCAAGAACAGAGACACACTTTTTTTTTTTTTTAAATGCATCCTACTGCATCCATTTACAGCAGTCAGTGAAAATTCATTCTGTGCAGTTTCTTTTCTTCTCTTACTTCCTTTTAAGAATACATGGCTTACAGTTTCTAACTTCCTACTGTGAGAGGACAGCTTTTCTCCTCCATTTAAGTAGGAACCACTTAACTGTCTCGTCTCCACAATACTCAAACCCAAACACTGGAAACGAAGGGTGAGGGGCGAGGGAAGGGGCAGGACTGTATGAGGCTACTGACCACTGTATCGTGTTGGCAAGGAGCAAATGGTATTTTTTGAAAATCAATTCACAGCCTAGACCAACCAGTTCCCATCTTCAATTCTATGATGGAACAGATTTTTATCTACTCCAACAGCAAGCTCTTGAATCAAAGAATTTCACATAACAGATGCAAAAAACCAGCATAATTCACACCAAATCCATAAATCACAGAAGACAGGCTAGGTTTGATTCTTATTATTTTCATGTCCTTTTGCTAAGTCCAACTGTCTACTGTGCTATCATCAAAACCAATTTCCCTGATTCACTATGGCCACAACTAGAAGTACCTAAGACACTTTATTTTTTAATGTACAAAAACTTCTATCTGACCGGAAAAAGCCAAGAGAGAGAGAAAAAGAGAGAGAGAGAGAGAGAGAGAGAGAGCCCACAACGACACTGCCACGGAGAACTCCTCAGCAACGTACCCATATGCAGACTTTCCAGACTCCAAAATCTTGCCATTTCCCCTCTGGCCACCATCCTTCTGTTTGAACACCAGGGGCCTCGAGAGCAGGACTGGAGTGGAACAAGCCAGTCCTCAAGGAATCACGGGGCAGCACCGGGCTGTCAGCTACAGAAACTGCAGAAAAAGCTTATTCACTGCTTGGCCTGTGTGTGCATTCCCGGCTGAGTCTGCTGAGAGCTGACAGTTCAGTGTGACGCGGGCTGGAGGCTCCGTGCACCACGGGGACCAACGGGCAGGAAACACGCTAAGATGGCAAAGCCAGCACGTCGCCAAGCCAGGCGGGCAGATCAGGTGCACACAGAAACATGCGTGCTGCTTTTAATGACAGCCCCCAGCCCGAACTGAACTTTCAGGGAGCTTTTAGGGAGGTTTCTATTCCATGGGAGAAAAGCACAGAGGTCGCTCAGTTCAAAAATGGAGTTAGGATTTCACACGATGGCATGACAAAAATTTGAGTTATGATACTGCATTATGTTAAGTGCACGTTTACAAAATCACTTTCAAAGAAAGATTTTTTTTGTTTAAAAGCATATATATGTAACTACGTGAATACTTCTCTATGTGAAAGAAAGATCTATCTGTTCACTTTATATATATACACTACATAATGAGAAAAACACTTTTTTAAGAGTTTCTGTGTAGATAAAAGGGCTCTGGTGACGTAGTGCCTAAGGCATTTGGCTGGTAAACAGAAGGCTGGCGGGTCAAACCCACCAGACACTCCACGGAAGGAAGGTTGGGCAATCTACTTCTGTAGAGATTTACCACCTCGAAAACCCAAAGGGGGTCACTATGAGTTGGAATCAACTTGATGGCAGTGAATTTTTTTTTTTTTTTTTTTTTTTGGGTCTGTGAGGATAACATCGTTTAAAGAGCTCTGCTGGCACAGTGCTTAAGGCACTTGACTGCTAACCAGAAGACTGGGGGTTCAAACCCACCAGCCACTCCTTGGAAGGAAGGTTGGGGAATCTACTTCTGTAGTGATACTGCCTTGGAAACCCAAGGAGGGGTCACTATGAGTTGGATCTGACTCCACGGCAGTTAGTTTGGTTTTTTTTCTTTTTGGTTTGCTGGTGTAGTGCCTAAGGCATCTGGCTGCTAACCAGAAGGTCAGCAGTTCAAACTCACCAGCTGCTCCGTGGAAGGAAGACGGTGCAATCTACTTTTGTAAAGATTTATTGCCTCGGAAACCCAATGGAGGCTGCTATGAGTCAGAATCGGCTCTACAGCAGTGAGTTTGGTTTTTTTTTTTTTGTCTGTAGATAACATTATGGTTTACTTTTCTTTCCTCTTTATGCTTTTCGGTATTTTCCCAACGATTAGCGGTGACCAAGTGCCTTTCTTCCATCTCACCGTGAAGCTATGCTTGTTAAGCAAACAATCTGCTTCCTTTCATTTCTTCATTACAGGAAGATGACCATGTGACCAAGTGTCTACTACTGTCTTCTGATCTTAAATGAATCAGGAGATGATACATGCAAAGTAGTTAGCCCATGGTCATTGCTCAATGAACACTGGCTTAAACCCTTCCCCCTCCCCACACACAGGGCCAACTAGTAAGATGTGTGCTTTATAATGGCTAGGTGTGCAGTCACACTGCCTGGCTTCAAATTCTGCTCTGGCCTAACTAACTCGGTTAGCGCAGGTCCCTAAGTCTGCAGAGTGGAGACAACTGCAGTACCAATAATCCTCACAAGGTTTTCTGAGAACACATTATAGTTTAAAAGGGCGAGGATGCTTCATTTGGGATTCATCAATAGTAGCTGTTACGCTGCTGCTGTCACCCCACAAAACCGTGAGGTACCCGATGACATGCCAGCAGCCCCAGACCAACACTCACCTTGTTCCTGTAGCACTAGCTTGCAATGCAAAGCCATGTAATTTGCTATAACATCCATGTTGACTACATGGTAGCCCACTGACTCTTCTCAAGCTTTTTTTTAAAAACATATTTTATTGTGTTTTTGGTGAAGGTTTACACAACAGGTTAGGTTTAGGTTCCCATTCAATCATTTCTACGCAAGCTACTTGGTGACACTGGTTACATTCTTCACCTGACCTTTTAAGTATCTGAGGCCATTTCTACTCATTTGGACCATTCACTTCTTACACTTAGCTAATAAGCAAAGTTTTTTGAGGACCTTATAGCTTCAGTAAAACCACAACAAAGGTGTTACGTTATCTTACTAAAGCAAAGTGAAATACACACACACAGTCATACTTAATCACAACTGTACACATGCTCAGATTTGAAGATTGGCTTCCCCCCTCTGCTGTTGTTAATTGCCACTTAGTAGATTCTGGCTCATAGTGACCCTAGGAGACAGAACAGGACCACCCCATAGGGTGTCCAAGGCTGTCAATCTTTACAGGAGCAAAGCCCAAACCAAACCCACTGCCATCTTGTCAATTCAGACTCACAGCGCCTCTAGAGGACACAGCAGAACTGCCCCACAGGGTTTCCAAGGCCATCACCTTTACAGTCGCAGACCACCAGGTCTTTCTCCCAGAGTGGCTAGGCAGGTTCAAACGGCCAACCTTTAAGTAAGCAGCTGAGTACTTAACCACTGTGCCTCAAGTACCCCAAAATTATTTAAGAGTCAAATTGTTAAAATTGTTAATAGACACCCCATTCAACAGGGGCATCCATTTTCAATAAAATGATTTCCTCGAACCACAGACTCCAAAGATTGTTTTTCAGTGTGGATCTTTCCCTATACAGTTTCCCAAGCACACACTGTGGTTAAAGCACTGGGCTGCTAACCAAAAGGTAGGCAGTTTGAACCTACTAGCGCTCCACAGGAGAAAGATGAGGCAGTCTGCTTCTATGAAGATGTTGTTGTTGTTGTCGTTATGTGCCGTCAAGTCAGCCCTGACTCATAGCGACCCCTCCTTGGGTTTCCGAGGCAGTATCACTACGGAAGTAGGATTGCCCAACCTTCCTTCC